GTGTGTATGTGGTTTCTTACCTTATTCTGTTGGAACACTACTGAGTGACAAGGGTAGCCAGAAGTGAAATAGCATATGTGAGAGTACAGTGTGATAATACTCCTTCCTCCCCATATCTAATAAAGTAAGTGAGACTCCCCCACTCCCTGACAGCTCTCAACAGAAAGGTACACTATAGATAAGTGCAAAAAGGAATTAAACAGAATTTATTATTTTAGATTTTTTTTTCTTATGAATAAGTATTTCTTGTTTGAGTAATCGATTAAATGAAAATCATAAAAAGAATTTACAGTCTTTGTGCTGCCTTTTCAAATTCACACAATCACCTTCGACACAACAGTTGAAAACTTTTCACTTGTGGTATAACAAATCCCTTATAAAACTTCAAAATGAGATCACTTGCAATTTGTAAATTGGTAAACCCACAAATTCTCACCTTTTCAAATGATCACCTTCAAACAATCACATTTGAAAACAACAACAACAAAAACAAAGCATACACAATTAAAGCTCACCTCAGAATGAGCACTTATATGAAACGTCCCTTCAAATGTTTACTCACAGTTCACGAGTTACTCACAGTTACTCAAGTTCCATAGTCCACTTGAATTACCACAGTTCCCTGTTTATCAGTTCAGTCACTAAAAAAACGGAAAAAATGAGAGGAATACCGTAGAACGATAAATTAGAGGGAGTTGACTGGACGTAGAGTGCGTTGAAATAAACTGAAGATCACAGTAGTTTTAAGTGTGCAAGTTCAAAAATTCACTCAGTCTTGTAAAAATATCCCACAGATAAACGGTCTCAAAAAGCATCAAACTGAGATGAATCAACCTGAGATGTCACTTGGATGGCAGGGTAGCAACACAATCTTCAACCTTGAATCGGCGGATAAGTTAAGTCTCTGCATTAACTGCATTATACAGCGATCTCGGTCTTTTCAATCAAGACACCAGAGGTGCAAAATACAGCAAAAGGACATGCAACCATGTCACTTGATGACAAAAATCAAGCAGGGTTTTCACTTTAAGCGTACTCACAGCTTCCGTGGTCTTCCATATGTTACTGCGTCATTTTAACAGCCAACACATACCACTAGAACAAAACTAAATAAAACTCCTTTCTGCTATGAACTGCGGTTCACTGTACACACTTTCACTTAGTGCTGTCGTCCTTTATTCGACTTAAGCCTCGATAATCTTCCGTTGAAGCAACTTTATCGAACGAGCTTCTCGATGACAACACTGCACTCACTTCTGTGTGTGACACACTCATACACCGCGCTCTTCTTCGTCTCTCCCTGCTGCACTTGCAGCACGCGCAAAAAGCGGACCACTCGCCAAAATAAAAGTATCCCAAAGATAATCTCTTTTCAAAATAATATACCCGTTACATATGCTAAACGTGCAACTGGTTGTATTTTTTGGAGTTTCACTTTTATGCGTGGGGTGGGGGCACCCACTGGCAGACGAGCCACGAGCACTTTGTTATATGTTCTACATTTCATGTATTTATGTAACATATATTCTACATTAAAAATACATTTAGAATGAACAATAACTGCTGTACAAAGAGTAAAAAAATAAATAAATAAAAATGCAGAAAAGCCGCCTCTTTTTCCGAATTGCGTAGATGACCACAATTTTTCTTTCATCTTTTCTGATAATTTTTCAGTCAAATCGTTTTATGTGTGCTAGATCAGAGCCAGTTTCTTATTCTCCTCATAACTGAGAAACGTATTTCTGATGTAGCCGAACTAGAGCACTGCATTTCACCCGGGCCCCGACTTTTTTACGCCCCTCGGGCCGGGCTTCGGGCCAATTTTCATGTCATAGTTCAGACGCGGGTGGGCCTCGGGCCTGTTTTAGGCTTCTCCTTATTTTTAAATATTAGACATCCATCAATTAGTGATGAAAAAAAATGGCTACGCTGGTGGAAACAACACGAGACGTGTGACCGCGACTGTCAAGAGCGGCTCGACGGTGTTCAGTGTCCAGCAGCAGCAGCAGCATGCGTGCCGTCAGCGCAGCTGAAGAGTTCTGCGTTCAAATGTACGCAATAGGCTAAAGCTTGCCGCAAAGCATCGGCAAAAGTAATTACCACCAATGTGTCAGGGGGAAACAGTAAGGAGATATTTGAATTATTTACTTATAAATAGTGTTTTCTGAGTCGGTGTGGCCGATCCTGACTCGCCATCTCCTCATTAGACGCGCCTTTAGAGAGAAGTGCATTTTTAAGGATTATGATTATAATGAAAGAGTTTTTGTTTTTGATTTTTTGATTTTGTTAAGTAGTAATTTACGGAAGTTCTAAGCGGCCATGCATTATTTTTTTCCCCCTTCTTGTTTTCTCGTTATAACGACTTATTTTCTCGTTATATCGACATAACGAGAGTTGTTTTCTCGTTATAACGACTTAATTTTCTCGTTATATCGACATAACGAGAGTTGTTTTCTCGTTATAACGACTTATTTTCTCGTTATATCGACATAACGAGAGTTGTTTTCTCGTTATAACGACTTAATTTTCTCGTTATATCGACATAAAAAAAGTTGTTCTCTAAGTTACAAAACTGCGCCAACAGGTGGCACTATTGGCCTGAATATGACTGATGGGGTGTTGTAGGCTATAATGTATGTCCACTTTACTGCACGCGTTTGAGATAGAATATGAACGACCTCGTGATCGCTATAATTTGTACAGTATTGTTCATTAGGCTACTGACATTTAATACATTCATAAATGTTAAATGCTTGAATCAATAGGACTATTTTGTGTATTAAGTTCTTGCTAGATGCATGAGTTTCACCAACGCGTTCTGTATCATAAAATAATAACTGCTTATTAAAACCAAGGTTGACGTCACTGTATTCTGTTTGCACCTATATCTTTATTTGTGCTTCTCTGATGTACATTATTGTTAGTTAATAAGCGAGGGTGTTCTGTTTATCTACAGTAGGACAGGCTTCAACGACGTAGGCTATTTGTAATGTGCCTCTTTTCCTTATTATTAATCTTTATTGTTAATCATTAAATGTATATTGATAAGAATTGTGATTTATATGTAAAGTGTATAGGCTAATTTAATTCAGTGATGTTCTACAGTGTTGTAATCTTTTGTGTTTTCTACATTTCTTTGTGGAAACCACACAAACACACACACACACACACACACACACACACACATAGCAACACATGAACGCTCTTTTCAAACAGAAGCTTGTAACGCACATGATATCAGTCACAGCATTTAATGACTATGGAGATAGAATTGTTGCTTAATTCCAAATAAATAGAATGATATCCACAAATAAATTTTAAAGTTTCACAAACATGAATTAAATTCACAAATAAATAAAATGAGATTTGCAAATAAAAAACATATTCACAAATATATATTTATGTCACAACCACAACTTTGCCTGGCATTTATTTGTGAATCGCGTCATGTGCATTTGTAGATAGCTGCTGGCATTTGTGAATCGCACCCTGTGCATTTGCGAATTGTGAAACATTTCTTCCTTCAAGACGTGCTGACAATCCACAAATACGTGGACTCCACCCACCGTCTACTCAAGCCAATCAGATAACAGCCACATTTCGCTAACCAATCGTAGAACAGTCTCGCTATAGCCAATCACGTTTTGCTTTACAATCAGGGCGGTCTCCTCCTGAGACAACTTCATTCATCTGCATTGACTCAAAAAGGTAATATAAGGGCCATAAAATGTGTACGTAAAAGATGTTTAAAATTAGATTTCGTTAGACCTTTAGACTGTGCGTGATGAAGTGTAGTAGGTTAGACTAGTGCGTGTGCACATTTACAGTGCTTTCTTTCACTGTATGATTCAGTTTATTAAAATACATTTCGAATGATTACAAAATTCAAGATATGGGAGCAGAAAATGTATACATTTATATCAGTTAATATAGTTTATATAAATATCATTTATATATCAATGTAATTTATTTTCTTCAAAAATCAACATGATTTCAAATGTGATATTAAAATTATGTGATATTAATATACAGTTC